GTGCTCACGGCTTGGTCTCCCATCATCCCTGTATGTGCTCATGGTTTGGTCTCCATCATTACTGTGTGCTCATGGCCTGGTCTCCCATCATCCCTTGTGTGCTCATGGTTTGGTCTCCCATCATACCTGTGTTGGGTTCATGGCTAGGTATCTTATCCGGTTCTGTTGGCCTTTCTTCTGTCCTGAGCTGATGCCACGTGATTCTCAGCTTCCTCTCTCTACATTAGGGTGGAAGGCTGGAGCTCTATGCACTGCTTTTCTTTTAAAAACTTTTCAAATTTGCATGCAAATGGATGGAAATAGAAAACGCTTTATTGAGTGAGGTAACCCAGACCCAAAAGGAGGAATACGGTATGTACTCACTCATAAGTGGATTCTAGCCATAATTAAAGGAGATTGAGCCTATAATTCGCGATCCTAGAGAAGCTAAATAAGAAGGTGAACCCAAAGAAAATCATATAGTTATCCTCCTGGATATTGGAAGTAGATGAGATTGCCAGGCAAAAGTTGGGTGCACGGGGGTGGGGGGGGTGGATGTAAGGGGAGATGGGTAGAGAGAAGGGAGAAGGGGAGGATTCGGGAGAGCTTGGGGGAATGGGATGGGTGGGATGGAGGAAGGGTGGATATGCGAGCAGGGAAGTAAATATCTTAATTAAGGGAGCCATTTTAGGGTTTACAAGTGACTTGACTCTAGAGGGGTTCCCAGGTCCAAGGAGAGGTCCCCAGATGGTTCCTTGGGCAGCAGAGGAGAGGTTGCCTGAACTGGCCTTGTCCCATAGCCACACTGAAGAATATCTTGCATATCACCATAGAACCTTCATCTGGCAATGGATGGAGATAGAGACAGAGACCCACATTGGAACACTGGACTCAGCTCCCAAGGTCCAAATGAGGAGTAGAAGGAGGGAGAACATGAGCAAGGAAGTCAGGATCACGAAGGGTGTGTCCACCCACTGAGACACTGGGACGGATCTAATGGGAGCTCACCAAGGCCAGCTGGACTGGGACTGAAGGATCATGTGATCAAACTGAACCCTCTGAATGTGGCTGGCAATGAAGGCTGACTGAGAAGCCAAGGACAATGGCACTGGGTTTTGATTCTACTGCATGGACTGACTTTGTGGGAGCCTGGTTTGTTTGGATGCTCACTTTTATAGACCTGGATGGAGGGGGGAGGACCTTGGACTTCCCACAGGACAGGGAACCCTGATTGCTCTTAGGACTCAAGAGGGAGGGGGAGGTGGGGAGGGAGAGGGAAAAGGGAGGCAGGGAGGAGGTGGAGATTTTTAATAAATAAATAAATAAATAAATAAACTTTTCAAATTTTATGCCTTCATGTAAATTTCAGATTTCTTTTGTATTAGGAAAAATTCCTTCCTGGACCTGCTGTGGAACAAGGTCCTCTGAGCAAAACAGCTGCCATCTTCATCAGATCAGCTGTGACTACTGGCAAGGGTCCAACATGATTGGACTTGTTGACTATTGACATTCCCTCACAGAAGGAAAGGGGGCAAGGCTGTCATTGGATCCACATTTGAGAATTCAGTTGGCCCTTCCAAGAATTTGCATCCAATTCTGTCCTAACTGTATGAGGAGGCCTCAGGTCTTAGAGGCGCTAGAGTGTTTGGGAGAGATAGTTAACCGAGAGGAGCTCCATTTATGAAGCTATGGGAAGCCTCCATCCTCACTGGGTAAAGACTTTCCGAGGCATATGAGTAGGGGCCACCCATGCTCTTGTAAGTAAGTCAACAAACACATAGGTTCCCCAGGCTAAACTTAGGTTTGCCACTGGTACCTTGTGAGGAGCGGGTAGATTTTCATTTCTCCCTCAGGGAGGAGTGCTTGTAACCAGACATTGAGCTGCTTAGTGTGTAGAGTAACCGAAGGTTATTAAAACTGCATCATATTGTGAGAAATAAATTGTTATGACCCATTTTCAGTATGCTTAAAACGCCTGAGAGTTACAGACCAAAGGAAGCTGTTGGCCCCTCCCTCTTCCAGCTGGGGACTGGTGCTTGTCTCAGAGAGCTGGGAAGTTGCAGGCTGTCAGCCACGTGACTGAGTCCATAATCAGAAAAGGGAGCAGTCTCAACCCCTAGTCATTAGATAAGATTTTGTGTCCTGAACAATAGGCCAGGGAATTTGGGAAGGAGTGGGCTGTGCCAGAAGCACGTGACTGGAGTGCCGGTCTATGGGTGAAGATGGCAGGGCTTCTTGGGATGAGAGACTTTAAAAACCATTCTCTCAGGCTTGAGAGATGGGTCACTGGTTAAGACCACTTGCTGCCTTTGTAGACGACCCGAGTTTGATTCTCAAGATTCATGTTGGGGGGTCTCACAACCATCTGTAATTATCAGCTCCAGCTCCAGGAGATCCGAAACTCTCTGCTGGCCTTCTATGGTTCTCTCTCTCTCTCTCTCTCTCTCTCTCTCTCTCTCTCTCTCTC